CTGTCGCCCAGACTGACGTGCAGTGGCCGCTCCCGGCCACCGCAGCCTCGACCTGCTGGGCTCCGGCGATCCTTCCGCCTCAGCCTTCCGAGTAGCCGGAATTCCAAGCGCTACCATGCTTGGCTAATTTTTTATTTATTTTATTGTAGAGATGTCTTGCCTGCCCAGGCGGGTCTCGAACCTGCGGGCTCAGGCAATCCACTCACGTCAGCCTCCCAAAGGCGCGGGATTACAGACTGAGCCACGGAGCCCGGCTATCTATTAGATTTTTTAAAAGATATTTTTGAAAAGTGGCCACAGAATACTATTTGGTCATAACATCATTTATATTTTCTTTAAGTCTTTGCTAATTAATATACTCACTGAAATGGAAAGAATGAACATTGAAAATTTACATTTTTACCATAAATAAAATTCTTGTGTAGAGCTCAGTCCCCTCATTTTGCATAGTTGGCTATGTGAGTACCATGACATGTGACCAATTCTTAGACTTATTAACTGCAGTAAAAGAAACATTGTATTTTATACTTTCTGAGATGTATTTTTTTTCACATTTTAACATTTCTGAAATTTGAATGCATTTCACAAGTTCTAAGAAAACATTAAGTCATATTTGAATTAACATGGTTGTTTCTTTTCTTTTCTTTCTTTTTTTTTTTTTTTAGAGTCTTACTTTGTTACCCAGGCTGGAGTGTAGAGGCTCACAGCCTCGACCTGCTGGGCTCAGGTGATCCTTCTGCCTCAGCCTTCCAAGCAGCCAGAACTACAGCACACACCACCACGCCCAGCTACTTGTATTATTTTTTGTTTATTGTAGAGAAGTTTAACCAAGTTGCTCAGGCTGGTCTCGAACCCTGGGCTCAGGCAATCCTCTCACCTCAGCCTCCCAAAGTGCGGAGATTACAGGAGTGAGCCACTGTGCCCGGCTTCACGTATATTTCCTTTTTTACTGATACATAAACTAATGGTGCATCAATGTCTTAGAATCCATAAAATAAAGCAATATTTTTCAGAATGTCTAGTAAGATTAGCAAAGTGTTCGATTATAATATTAAATTATTATTTGAAAAGAACTGATAGTTTACCCATAAATGTGAACTTTATAAAACCCAGAAATTTTGATTCTTTGTAGAACAGATGGGTACCCTCAAAAACATCAGAATGGATGAAATTTCAAATATTTTCTGTTCATCCTCTTTTGATACACACTCAAAACTTCCTCAGAAGAGTTGTGAAGGTTTTAGAAAAGATTTGTGTTTGTGCTTGTGAAAAAAGAAAATCACTGGACTCATTTTTCACTCCTGGCTTTGTGCCGACCTTTGCTTTAACCAGAAGATTCTCTCCATGGGTCAGCTGGGTACTGTTTGACGTGCCTTCAAAAGCATCCAAGTGGCCTAAAAGATGAATGCAGCCATCCCAAGGCACTTGGAACACTGACTTATATAGCATGTACTTAAAAATGGCCAAATGAAACATTTTTTGGCATTAAATGACATATAAATAAATTCTTTTAGAAATATTTATAGTAGCAGGCCTGGCACGGTGGTTGATGCCTGCAATCCCAGCACTTTGGGAGGCTGAAGCAGGAGGACTGCCTGAGGCCAGGAGTTCAAGACCCGCCTGGGCAAAATAGCAAGACCCCATCTTTATTGGAAAGAAGGAAGGAAGGGAGGGAGGGAGGGAAGAGTGAGTGAGGGAGGGAGGGAGGCAGAGAAAGGAAGAATTCATAGTAGCAATAAATGTCTGCTTTGTGTTCTCGACTTTTATTGTATTAACTACATTACACTGAATATATTCTTTTTTTGTTTTGTAGGGTGGATCTACGACATCACACAAAAATATGATTTTTCCTTCTATATATGTGGTTTGCTCTACATGGTAGGAATACTCTTTTTACTCATTCAACCGTGCATTCGAATTATAGAACAATCTAGAAGAAAATACATGGATGGTGCACATGTTTAGTGTCATGTAACATTTTGTGTCAGATTTCATTGTGATACTCATGCCTACCTCACATGGTTGCTGTGAGGCGCCTATGACAAGACATGGGAAGGCACTCTGTACAGTAACTGGCACTGTCATTTGTAAACGCCGTTGTCATGGCCTCATTTGTAAGCAGCACTGCTTCTCTGTCTGGGAGAAGCAATATTGAAAAGTCCTAAGGACTACATACATTTTAGAGATGACAGTGTTCTTCAAAGACAGCCTATTAAATAATTGGTAGAAATGTCCTTATAAAAATTATTCTCTCTCATCATCCACTAGGACTAGGGTTTTAGATACAGCTTTTAAAACAAAGACAGGGAATAAGAGCTTTTCAATTCTACTACTTCTTCATAAGGTGAAACTGCGGTTTCTGTGTGCTTCCAGAAAGCTTCCAGATAAAAGGGTTTCAAGCACAAAAATAGTAGATTTCAGAAATTATCACAGGGGGCTATTGATCTACCAGTATAAAACAAAGGCAGGCTCTAATTTCACAGGTAATACAATTTAGTACAATTAAAGATACAACGTTTATATTTTTATGAAAAAATTCTGCAGCTAGGGAGTACGATTTATAAATCTTCCTCTAAGAGAAGGCATTTGTCATCAATCCTCATTGCATATTACTTAGTTGTCAACTGAACTTGAGACAATACCTTAACAAATAAATAACATGAGTGATTTCCTTAGTGGAAGCCATATTTGTACATACAACCATTGAATCAAGGGCTACGGTTCAAGCACTTTTATTCATATCATTGGCCTCCGTCGCAGATTATGAGCATGATCTGGAGGTTCTCACAATTTGTTCTGAGTTTCTTCTGCTCAAAAAATGTCATATAGAACTAATTGCTAATTGACAAATAAAGTTAGTGGTTAAATCATCCACAAAGCATGTTTCTAATCCAAAAGATAAGACCATCAGGTTGTGAGAGTAGTAAATGGGACGCCCTTAGTCTAGAAGTCTGGGCACCTGACACTGGAGTAGTGATAGCGGGTAGCCATCTCCAGGGCCTCTTGTTGTTATACAGATCATTCACTTGCATGAGCTCAGCACAGCTTTAAAAATAGTTCTCTTGACTGATATCATACAGAAGATGACTGTGACAACGCATAATGCCCCTCCTGCATCTGAGATATCTATTTTTCTAAGCCAAACGTTTTTCAGACTGACTGCAGAATGTTCTTCCCAGAATCATTTTGAAACTTCTGGCTGCCTTACTTGTTTACACATATTTTAAAACGGCTTAAACTTGTATTTACAATTTTCTCATCACACACAAAACAATCCTTTAATATCATTGCCAGTGTCTTGGGTCAAATGTATCTAAAGTGAACATAGCACATTCTCGATAACCCTTGGTAATTAGAGGCAAGAATGTTACTGGGAACTGGAATCGCAGAATGTTACCCCAAGCCTAATTTTAGTCAGCAGTTTCAGTTATACTCCACCAAGCCCTTCTGAGCTGTTAACAGGTGATTCAACGGACAAGGTTCCTTTTTGTTTCATCTCCATTATCCTGCTCTAATGTCTAGCAGGAGGGTTGTTTAATGAAAGGATCACTGAAATAGTAAAAGGCAGCTAATGAAAAGGAGAAACAAAAGCATGGTTAATATACAAACTCGATATTACCTCCAATGATTAGAGAATTGTAAGTTATTATAGATAATAAGTTGCATGCCATACTCCATTTGGTTCAACACAATGACCTGTTTGTTATCATTACAGCTTTGGCTGCTGTTAAAGAATACAGCTATCTATTTTGATAAAGGTAATCTTAAAAGCTGAAACAATGCTATCACACATATTTACCATAAAATTAGGATGATTAGATTGAAAAACATGTTGTGTGGTTTTTTGTTTTGTTTTGTTTTGTTTTTGAGTTGTAGTCTCACTCTGTTGCCCAGACTGGAGTGCAGTGACACGATCACCGCCACCACAGCCTCTACCAGCTGGGCTCAGGTGATCCTTCCTCCTCAGCCTTCCAAGTATCTGGAACTACAGGCACATACTACCACACCTGGCTTATTTTTTGATTTATTGTAGAGATGATGTCTCACCAAGTTGCCCAGGCGGGTCTCGAACCCCTGAGCTCAGGCAATTCTCTCTCTTCGGCCTTCCGAAGTGCTGGGATTACAGGATTGAGCCACCGTGCCCGGCCAACATGTTGTGTGTTTTAAAACTGACATTACTTTATTACTTTCATTTTCTGACAATACCACATTAACAAGAGGCAGTGTTAAATATTTTTAATGGTGCTATAGCAATGCATTTGGATGCTCACACTGCTGGTTGTATATCGTAAATACAAACTTTTTATCCAATGACCAGGCTTTAATTGCATCCAAGTTAGACCTGCTCACGTTCAGTTTGTACAGTTGTTTGTTGACTTACTCTATCTTTGGAAGTTGTGACTTCTACCAGATGGGTAGCATTGCCCATTTTACAAAAATAGAGTGAGACCTGCTTGCAATATTCACGTTGACAACGAATATAAGAGACTATTATAAAGAAGTATAGCAAACATGTCCTGTTTATGTTATTGTTCAGTTATTTGATATTATAAAAGGTTAATTGTATATTTGTATTATGTGCTTTATTGTTTTCTTCTCATGTATCTGAGTGTTCTTTATTTACATACAACTAAATAAAGTTTGTCTCCTCAAAAGATGGTCAGTGAGTTTTCAAAATCTCTCTTTTGTTGGCCTTAAAGGGAGCACTCCTAAAACGTAGCTGATGATTGATGATGTTTTATTCTTTCCCCTGGACCAGTGTTTCTCTAGGTGTGGTCACAGAACCACCTGGATAGAATCATCTAGAATGACTGTGAAAAGCATGGAGTCCAAATATTAAACTTAAGATGCACACATCTTTTAATCCAGCAATTGAATTTCTAATTTTTTTCCTAGGTATGAAATCAGAGAAATGAGTAAGCATTGTTTTTCTTTATTGTTTGTTATATAAAAGACTGTAACCAATTTCAATGTCAATAGGAAACTTACACTATGGTACAACCATACAGTAGAATATATGCAATTTTTAAAAAGACAGATCTATATACAGAATTAGCAAACAGTCTCCGAGATATCTTACTAAAAGAAAACGCAAAATAAAGCAATATGTTTAATATGCTCTCAGTCATATGTTTTCATTAACAAAAAAAGCTTATTCATACGTATATGGCTTATATATGTATAGAAAATTTTTAGAAAGAAATATAAGAAAACATTAACAGTAGTCAGCTCCAGGGAAGAAAATTTGGGAACTGATGTGTGTCCGACGTTTTTTCTTTATGCACAAAATGAATATTTAAATGCAATTTAAAATGCATTTAAATATACATTTTAAATACAATTTTAAAGTTTTATCCAAAATTATTTTAAATGCAGATTCTTGGACTTACTTAAAACCTAGAGAATTGGGTCAGGCTCACGCCTGTAATCCCAGCACTTTGGAAGGCCAAGGTGGGAGAATCACTTGAGAATAGGAATTCGAGACCAGCCTGGGCAACATAGTGAGACCCTGTCTTTACAAAACATAAAAAAATTAGCTGGACATGGTGGAGCATGCCTGTAGTCTAGATCCAAAAGAAAGAAAGA